AAATACGATTACCTTCCTTTCTATGTTTTAAGAATTAAATGATACAATATGAGTCACCTCATCTTTTTTAAAATTGTTTATTCCAGCATCTTCGTAAGGATGTAATTTTCCTAGTACATTGGGTATTACCATGATCTCATTTTCTGCTGTAATGGGTAAACTTTTTAATCATTTAGAAGATACTATTTATATCTATTATTACATATTACGCATATTTATTGCTGATAATACCGAATCAAAAGGATGTTTTCTGATAAGAGAACATCGGATGATAAAAATAAAAATTACAGAAGATTAAACAAACGTTCACCAACACGGATCAGTTATGACGGAAAGATCTGAAATATAACATTAATATCTAAGGAAAATGTCAAGAGCAATACAATATTTGGCTGGTTTTAATTATTTTATAACTTAAGCAATTTATTTAGTAAAACAATGAATAGCACAAGTTGTTTATTGTTCAAAACAGTTTATAAAATTTATTTTGTCATGAAATTAAAAAGTAAGTAAACAGTTTCTGAATGATTAAGTTGAAAAAAAAAATTGTATAAAATTTGGTTTAAACTCGCAATATATTAATCGGATAGTTAAAATGTCTTTCTTCAAGTCCAGGTAAAGAGTGATATTTTTTTTTTTTTTTTTTTTTTTATTTCTTTATGACATTTACAACTGTATTACATAAATACATCAAGTAAATTTGAACATAATTGATATAATGACATGAATACACTTGCTGAGTAACTACCCAATGGTAGCACTCTAATGATATGACTACATTAGGAGATCACGGGGCCATCTTCTTTTCAGACGCCTCGGAGGGTTATCAGGAATTGAAGAGGAAGCAAGGTTAGAAACGAGAGGGTTGGGATGATTCTGAAGTTTATTATGGAAGGATAGGTATCTGGATTGGGCCAGATCTGAAACATAAGGAACATTAAGATCTTTATGGATAATTTTATTAGTGACAAAGTAAGGAGCATTGAGGATTTTACGAAGGATTTTGGATTGTAAGGATTGGATGCGAGAGGAATTCGATGGTTTAGTGGAGCCCCATAGCTCAACTCCGTAAGTCCAAATAGGTCTTATTATAGTCAAGTATATGAGTCTTTTGTAATTAATGGGAAGTTTAGAGCGTTTGTCTAGTAAGTGCTGAAGTAATCGGAAACGTCGAGCGGTTTCTTGTCGTTTCAGTCTAGTATGAGGATTCCAAGTTAGTCGTTTGTCCAGGTGGAGTCCTAGGTATCGGATTTGCTCAACAGGGATAAGTGGAGTATTGTTAAAGGAAACTGTAGGACAGGAAGTCGTTGGTTTACGACGAAGGGTAAAGGTAATTTGGTGGGATTTATTGGAGTTTAGAGTGATATTTTGAAACCGAAGGTTCGGTACCGTTACATATTTCCTTCCACTCAAAACTCAAAATGGTTGATTTTTAGTTCGCTTGTTAATTTGTGCAGCATTTAAAAAAAAAAAAATAGATAATAAAATTCGACAGTCTACGATGGCCGAAACCATGCAAAACAATACGTTTAAAAGAATAAAAAAAATCATCTACACTTTTCTTTAGTTTTTTTTTTATATGATTCCAGAATCATTGTTCCGTTTTTCGCTCTATCGTTATGAAGTGTCTGAGGTTTAGGCTATGAATTTCTGTCCAGCAGCCATTTTGAAATAAATTGGCGAAGGGTAATGTCGAATTCCGAGGATGACCTCTGACTTCTGTACTTCAGTCTCTCATATATAGTCGACTCAGTACTTTCGATGGAATGTAAGTCGCGTATGGTAGCAGTTTTTTATTTAGATTTTTGGATTTTTTTTATCTTAAGATGTGGAATTTTGAATGGTGATTTTATTGTCATCAGAAATTTATATTATTTTCTTGATGTCTTTTTTATTTTGGTTGTTTTGTCAATATTTGAAAGTTGTTTGTTAATTTTCTATGATTATACATATTCAGAAGCTGTTAATTAATTTTATTATCGACCAACATTTGGTTATCACTAGTTCTGTCGGTTATGGCTTTCTTTTACTTTCTTGGCCGCTTTAATCGGCCAACTTCATCTCAGCCTATATTGGACTATTGCTTTTCAGTTATCTGCATCTTAGTTAATTTGATCTATCCATCTGCTTTTGTCCCTCCACGTGGCCTCTTGCGAACTATTGAGGTATCCATTGTTATGTAGACGCTTCCTAATGGATTGCTCCGTGCTACATGCCCCGCCCAACTTAACCTCCTTGCCTTGATTAACCAGTTTATGTTAGCCTGTTCTTTCGTTAGTACTCTGATCTCGTTATCGTACAGAAGATTTTCCTCTCTTATTTTTTTCATAACTTCTTTCTATGGTGCTGGTTTGTTTCCAGATCATCGCAGCAGTATATCAAAGCAGGCTTTATTGTAGCATTGTGCACAATTAATTTGAGATTTTTTTGGATTTCAATACCTTTAAATGAGAGAAGAAAACTCTATTTGAACTCGTTATATGCTGGTCTATTTCCGACCATTTGTCATTCGTATGGTTTGTTGTGGAGACGAGATATTTGACTCTGCTACTCTCCGAAACGATTTTTGTCTACGTAGGTGACGTTAGTATGGAATTTTCGGATTTTTTTTTAGAAAATAATAGACCAAAAATAATTAAATATTAGCTACTAAGTTCTAGATGAAAAGATAGAGTCGGAACTAGAAGGCAGAGCCCACAGCCTTATTAATATTATGGAGGCGGGAGAGAGGGGTGGGGTTGGGGGTCGCCATGGTAACCAGCCACCGGCGTCTACCATCGATCGCTTTTACCCCCTCTACGCTGCCTCTGTGTATTGTGTACCATTCTATTATCTTATTCTTATTTTCTACATATATCTTAAGCTTATCTTTTAGTTTATTAATGCAATTATTTTAATTATTATTTATTAAATACCTATTGTTCAGAAATACGACTTAAGATGTATTTTCATTGTTTTATTTTCTAATGAAACAAGGTACTTAACATTACATCGTAAAAAATACGGGACTATTTAAATGATTTTTAAAAAAGGATAGAATATGCCAGCTGCATTCAGTGACTTTCCGATATCGGTATTCGTTTTAGTATTTGATATCGATACTGGACGACTGTATTAACATTTTATAGTGATAAAATGGGAGGGGAGGGGGGGGGAAGAGATCATTTGATCTCACTACTTAAGGAAAACAATTGGGACAAAATAATAAATTAATTCATAATGGTGAAGAAATTGTTAGCTGTATACATACTGTATGGGGTTTCATTCAGAGAGAACACACAAAAAAAATGCTTTTTTTTTATTCAAATCATTTTGTAGTTAATTTTCTTTCATGTATAATAAATAAATTTAGTTATAATTTATAATATAATAGTTATAATTATTCATTTTTAATATTTGTGTTCTCAGATTTATTGGTCTGGGGAAACCACCATTAAATATGGAAAAGGCCTTTATCAGGGCTGAGAAAAGACAAGATAACAAACATTAATAAAAATAATTAATTTTTAAAAAATAAATAAATTCTGTTTTATTAATCTTTAAAACATTGCCTATATATATTTTTTTTTTGAGGGGGGGGAGGTGTAGAGGATGAAAATTACTGAGGCCTAATTATTTATAAGCCATCAATGTAAGACAATAGACAAATTACCATAAATAATTTTATTAATTTTTGGAAAAAATTAATCTTAAGTAGTTATACCTAGGTGGTTTTCTGTATCATTATCATCCTTCTTCTGTAGTTAATCAAAATTTTGTACACCTAATTGTGTATTTACTTCAAAAAAATTTAGTGAATACGATTTTTAAAAAAATTATTTTTTATTCATTAATTCAGGGCATAAACCAAGAACATTATGAACTTTCATATTATGGAGGCATGATGAAAAAGTTTATTATTATTACAATTTAAAAATATTTGTATATGCAATAAAAAATATACATGGAACAACTTTTAAATATTAATTATCTCAATTTTTTGGCAAGCCATTTGTATTGTATTATGTTTTATTTTCTTTCAAATAATTTAGGGGACGGGTAACAGCCTTCTTGTCTGAGGGGTAAGCTTGATTTTATTGCCCTCAAATAAAAGTCAACATTTTATATCAGTATTTTCAGTAATAATCTTCTTTATAAATATCATCATCAGATAATATTTACTCATCTCATTTAATGAATTTAAGTCATAATTAAAATATTTTTCCACAAAATTTGCCTCCCCATCCCTCTAAATTCCACTGCCCAGGGCTATTATCCCCTTTTCCTCTCCTTTGTTTCGGCCCTAATTAATTTTATATGTAATGAAATCTAAACCAAAAAGAAAAATATATTTTATAAATAAATATATAATTATAATAAATACATTTTATGAATAAAATACGGTTTATTCAATATCCATCACTAAACCAACAAAACTGAAATTTACAGTAGAGTTCACCTACTTTTAATTAGTCTTTAATTAATGGAATGAATAATCAGGAGATAAAACTATATATCTTCTGGAATAATTTAATTAAATAATTTGTTGTTAATTATAACAAAACTTTAACTAACAGAACTCGAGCTATAAAGGAATTAAGGAAGATATGACGACTTGACAAAAAAAAAATTCCTTTAAGAAATCTCAGGAGAGATAACATGTTTTTAGTAATCTTAATGATTTGGCTGTTAATTTATTATTATGATCACTAACATGTGAGATTTAGATAGATACCTATAATAAATTACGTGTCACAAAATTAAAAGGAAACTAACAAAGAATCAAAGTCAAATTAAATAAATTTAACGGAATTAGTGATAATGATGATATTCACTAACTATGAATTTAAACACTTTTTTTTTTAATGATTGCATTTGAAAATGTAATTGAGGAGTTAGTTCTTTTTTTATGATTTTAGCTTTGTAGTTATAAATTATTTTTAAACTTAAAATAATTTTTTTTTTATAGGAATTTTGATGAAAATACAATTGTTTTTAATTAATGCTTTTATTACTTCCAGGAGACGACAACAAAGAGCGGTTCAGAAGAAACTAGCCCATCAGAACCCGAAGCAGCAACCCCAGCCGTCGATGAAGCAGCTAAGGAAATCGTACCACCAACTGAGACAAAGACGGAAGAAACTTCAATCATGTCAGATATTAAGGTAAATATTTTTAGGAATTTTAAAAAGAAAATTTCATTTTATTTTTAATATCATACTAAAATACTAAAGGATATTCAGCTTTTCGTTAGTAACCACTGTGCGCTACTACCACCAGACCAATCTATACAGTTGTTTTTTTTATCGAAATGGTCTGTGTTGTATCGTAAAGGTTATAAGTTGTTTGTAATTAGAAACCTCTGGATCTTAAAATGCAATAAGACTGTATAGTGGGTGACTCATTTATTTCCTTAACTGAAATGTTGAGTTTTAAAAAAAATTTAAATATATATATACAAATAAACTTTAGATTGTAAATGTATATATGGATATATACTAAAGGAATATAAAAGGCTAATATGTGTCTACTACAATTTTTTTGAAAATAATTATTTTGAACAAATACGTATATGTGTATTTACATGCATCTGGATTTTTAATTGACATAATTCCTACCAAAGGAATTTCATATTTGTACATTATTGGGATAGACAAAATATCAAGTTTACTAATTAAATTCAACTCGACAAATTTAGATTTAATTTAGTCTTAAATAAAACTTATAAAATCTTTAAGTAAAAAAAAAAATAAAATAAAACAGAGATGAAACAAAACTGCCCGAAGTTAATGGTTTAAATTTTTTCTTGTTTTGATTCTGGATCTGTGTATGTTGTGTGCAATTTATGTACTTAAGCTTTTTAGTTAGAAAACCAAGGACTTCAAGAAGACACTTGCTTCAAATAGTGTTCGGTTAATTGAATCTTTGAAAAGGGAAGAAGTAAGATTTATGTCGTGTTTTAAGGAGAAGTCTTAAAAACCATTTTTGGACAATTTTTATTGCCCCCATTTCTTATCTAGAGCTTCCTTAAAAAAAAAATTTTAAAAGCATTACATTTATGTACTCTAAAGCTGGTGCATTTAAAAATGTCCTTAAATATGGATGTCCCTTGAAAAAAAAAATTAAAAATTACTTGATAAAAATGTAGAATAGATATTTTTGTTGACCGTTTTTTTTTTTTTTTTTCCTTCTAATTATTGGGATGATGAATAATCAATATTTATTTTATTCTGCTTGCCAATGTTTCGACCTAAGTGTGTGGGTCATCTTTGGGGCTAAAAATTTAAAATTATATCCGAAACATAACTAGGGAAAGAAGAAGATGTGAAAGACCTGGGATAACGAAGTGGAGGAATATATGATGGGTCATGGTCTACGGGAAGAATGGACCTTAGATAGGATATTATGGAAAGAAGCCATCCAAGGTTTAGGTTAAGGAAACCCACAATTAGTGAAAACTCCTGACAAAAAAAAAAATCCGAAACATAACATATATGTAGAAGGAAGTACGTAAATAAGCTAAGATGAAATGATTAATAGTAATTAATATATATTTAATAATACATCAAGAACAAAGAAATTAACTAAATGATTATACAAATAAATAAATTATGTTATCGTTTTAATTATGTTTTATAATTTTAAAAAATCAACATGTTTATTAAAGCCTTAGTCATTTTATATAAATTTCTTATTTTTTCTTGAAGTGATATTATATTTATCTTACCATTATCTTAGGTATATTATTTGTTTTTTTATATTTGCTAATTTATGTACTTCTGTTTTTTATATCTTATGTTTCTGATATAATTATTATTTTCTGATATAAAAAGTCAGTAAGCTGAATAAAACAAATCTTGATTATTTATCATATTCATAATTAATCAAAATATATTTAATTAAAATATAATGAAATTTAATATTTTTTTTTTTTTCTTCTCTTCATAGTCTGCTGTCTGTTCTCTGACTTCTGCTGCTGAAAGCGAAGGAACAAAAATCATTGAAGAGACCAAGGTAGTCACGACTGAGGCTAAAGAAGCCATCAATACCATCGTTCAAGAAGCTGGTTCCAAAATCATCGAATCCGGTACCAAACTTATTGAATCGGGCACCACAATGGTCGTTGAAGAAAGCAAGACCATGACCACTCAAATCACAGAGTCTGCTTCCATCATCAAGACCAGCACAAAAACTATTGAGGTAATTGATTATTTTTATTTGAGGCTTCCATTTTTTTTTTCTTTTAGTATTTTAGTAGAGAACACCTTGATTTTTATGAACCGGCTTTCAAAGATTGAATTTTGAAGTGTGGTTTTGTATATTATAACTTTTGTAAATTATTTTTAGGTGTTGGTTTTTAAGTAATAAATTTGCATGTTTTTTTTTTTTTATTTCTCTTGTAATTATAATTAGTCACTTTTTGATTGCACAACAAACTGTAGAAACTCTTGAAGTGTAGCTTTTTGCTATTTCTTCAAATTGATAATTCTGTTTCGATCAGGGGCTGAAACAACTTCATTTGTTATTAAGTTAAGATGCTGTTTAAAAATGTTATTACTTTGATTTCAAACTGCGTGAGGAAGAACTATATTAGATAAATAAAGTTCTGTAAATTATTACACAATGGTTTATTATTTACCAAATAGTTACGTATCATATATGCGTTGCAGATCATACTACTTTCATTTTTTATTTATAATTTTCAATAATCAATTATCGACCTTTGTAATCGGCAAAGAAGAAAAAAAGTTGACTTCCCTTAAAATTTGAGGTTTTGCGTTTCATGATACGTAGAATCGGAAAAATGAATAAAAGAAATCCATCTGTCCGCAGCTTTTCTCAGAAACTGAGCCGATTGTTTTGAAATTCAGTTTCAATGTTAAAGGGCATCAGAGGATGATACTCGGAACTCAGCATTATTATCTATCCTTACCTTTCGAAATGGCGGCTGAAAAACTTGTGTCATTATAGAATCTAGTGCCTAAACTAACGTACCGATTTTAATAAAACGGTCATAAACGGGAAAGGAGAAACAAAGTCTTCTCCTTTTTAAATTTATTTATATAATATACTTGAGCTAAAATTACTTTTCTATCAAGATGGCAGCTGAAAAATCTGTACTGTGTAGACTGTAGCACCTAAATAAATATACCGATTTCGATAAAACTTGGCTGTATTTTCCTTCTTCAAAGTTATTTAAATTTATCTATATAACAGACTTCACCAAAAAGAAGCTGGATAAAATTGTATGAGGATATACTCAAAAAGTATAAACTTTTTTTTGGTTGTCGTATTGCTCACTTAAAAGTTAACAAAATTCCAAAAAGACAAAAAATAAAGATTGTCGAAATCTGACAATTTGGTGCTAAGATAAGTTGTTTTAAATATTTTCCTTATGTTCTGCTGCAAAGGTGATATCCTTTGTTTTGATCTTTGGTAAGTCTTGAAGCAATTGAGATTGTTGTCTATATTTCTTAGCAAATTAATAACGATAAAAAAAAAAATTGTTTAGGGCTATATTATGAATTTCCTTTCATTTATTTTCCTCTATATGACAAGGAAAGTAGTGTTACATTTGATATATAACTGTTCGGAAATAATAAACCATTATCTAATAATTAGCAACGTTTTTGTGATTCAATTCTTCTTCAATTGATAATCTTGAGTGCTTAGATGTAAAGTTTAAAATTTCTTTTTTTATAATAGTATTGAAAATTTTCTCACATTTAGTCCATCCTATCAGTAAACCATGCTGTATTGATAACAAATTGTATTAATAATTTTAATAAATTAATTTTTTGTCTTTCATCTTATTAGAATCTTAACGTATACTGTTTCCGTTATTGTATAATAGTTTGTTTAAACTATTTTTGTAAGTAAACAATTGTTTCAGTCCCTGTAATTAACATTTCAAGAGTAGCATTAAACGCAATGTCAACAGTTATGGTTGGGCCGGTAGTGTTAAAAACAATTTTAAACTTAATTTATTTTACTAATTGTCTTATATTTTCATTTGGAACTGAGCTATTATATCCATTTTGTTCTCAGAACATTTTTTTTTTTCTCAAAACACTAAAATAATGTTAAAATTACTTAAAGCCTATTTCTTTTTATATTAATTGTAATAAGTAAGTTTTTTATTTAATTCAAATTTATGATTATTAGACAGCGTTCAATTTTAATATTTGGAGGCTCAATTGTACTATAGTGTTATTGAAAAAAGATATTTAGGCAATTCATATATTAAATAATTTTTTTTTTTTTTTTAATTTAATATCATAAAAATTAATTTTGTTCGGAAGTCGAGGACATGAATTATGTTTTGAATTTTTATAAATTTTTGTTTCAATTATTATTCGACTGAATCGCTGAGTGTGTTTAAAAAATGTGGTTTTTTTGCTTAATATGTGTTTAAATTTGGTTTTGAAGCTTTCACTGCTTAAAAAAACATATTTGTGAAAAAAAAAATGGTTTTCTGCTTTGCCTTACCCGATGTAACGATTGAGCTATCCTTGCAGATTGTTGAGGAGACAATCGCACCTCCTCTACCAGCAAGCCCCCCACCTACTGAAGCTCCTCCACCAACCCCTGTTGCACCACAGCCCGCCCAGCATGAGCATGAGGTATATTACATTGTAAATATTTCTTTTTTATTTATTTTACTTTTATTTGTTTTGGTTATATCTTTCCGGACGTTTTATCTATAAGTTTATAAAGGTCCTTCTTATCTTTTCAAAGAAAGAAAGGAGAAGAAAATGTACTTCTGGGTAGGATTCGATCTTAACAAAAAATATAAACACAAGTTTATGGGTAAAACTTCTAACATGATGGATGGGTACAAGATCACAAGTTCAAACTGCAAACGTGATTAAAAACTTTTTCACTCAATTTATCTCCTCGGTGAAGCAAGACCCTCTATGGTCAGTCAGGAATGACAGTCTTAAGATTGGCTAGATTGACTCCAATCGTATTAGTTTCTACACTTTTTAGAGAAACAGTGGCCAGAGGAACGGGCCGAACTCCACAAGCACATGAGATAGCTTTCTAGATTGCATGGTAATTAAAAAAAAATTATTCACAAATATGAAATTTTATAAATTAATCTATCACAATGTTACCACAACTTTTATTGCATGATTTATTTTCCCTTTAAAAAGTAATTGGTAGAAATACATCTCAGTTTTTGATTAATTTAGTAAAAATCGTTGCTTGTTAACTGTGGTTTATGTTCACATATACCACTCAACCTAATTATTTAGTTGTGGTACTAATTCGCCATAAAATTTTGCTAATGTAAATCAGTAAAAAAAAAATCACCGAAAGACAGAAATTCAATGTTAGATTATAATTGAAAAAAATCCAATCACAGCCTTATTTCTCCAAAATGCAGTTAAAGAATAAAAAAAAACCGTCGACGTTTCACCAATTTAGGCGTCATCAGGACAGAAAAATCAATGCTTGAACATTTTCAGAATTCTATCTACAGTGTGATTTTGTGCCAGTCCATCATGTTACCATGACATTTGTAAAATGGTACCTCCAAACGTATAAGTTGTTTAGCCTTTATTTTATCTTTTATTTTGTTTTATTTATTTAATCTTTAGTAATCAATAAAAATTTAAATTAAATTATTATTTCGTACGATTTCGTCCTTGATTTAAATTTTGGTGTTGATTTAAAATGGAAATTTGAGTTTTAATTAAAACATTTTTATTCCGTTAAACTTTAATTTAGCCTGTGGTATTGATTGATTTAAGAAAATTCTCCGTCGGTATTTTCTTTTCTTTTTTTTTAATTTTTTTTCTTTTTCGCTTAGGAATTGATCGGAGGTGGTGAGAGCATGGCTGAAATGCCAGAAGAAAATGGATTAGGCGTCAATGACAAATTTGATGACTATCATGAAGACTTTATCGCAAAGGTCAAAGAACAAAAAAATTTAAATTACCTTATTGTTTAATACCGATCCACCTCCTTATTTAAAATTTTCAAGAAATTGAGTTTTAATGAAAAGTTTTACAGTAATCCCTCAACATTTGTGGGTTTGCCAGTTGCGAGTTTTGACCTATTCTCTTATAATCTCTATCAACTCATCAACATCGATCTATAACTTCGTGAATGGTTTTATTTTATCATAGCCTGCAATTTTTTATCTTCATAAATCACAGAAGTGGGATATTTTCTGATTAAATTAATTAATTTAATGAAGTTTTTGACGGATGTTGATAATTCGATACAAAGGAGTTTGTACTGCGGACTATTATAGAAAAAAAAAATTATTTGCAGGATATACAATATACTAAACATACCTATTAATTTAATAACACTTGCGGATTCAAAGGAAAGAGGAGTTATTTTGGCAATGATTAGTCATCATTCAGAAATTCATTTTTTAACTATTCTTTTGAAATACAATATATTTCCTTAAAACTCCTTGATTTTTTTCAATAGTGTTAGCTAATGTCATATTAACAATACAATTTCATACCAAAGATAAATTTAATGAAAAGTTATTATATCCGCTGATAAAGAAATTAAGAAAATAAATACGCTTCCAAATTTTAATATGTACATACTTTAGATAATATGGTTTAATTGAATGTGTTTTTATATTTATTACATACATGAAATAAAATCTTCAACTTTTTTTTTAAAAGGGGAGATTGGGATTATGGAACGGTCCGGATTAGCAAGAGTCCACTATATTTGTAGAATAATTTGTCCGCTTTATTTTTATAAACCTCTAAATAAGACTGTGTATAATTACATAAAAATATACTGTAATTAAATATAATGAAAACGAGACGCTTTTAAAATGAATCCATGTTTTTGTAAATTAGTTTGCCATCATAAAATATGATCTCCTATTTACATAGGAAGGTAGATATTGCATTCACAAGATTTTCTTGAAAAATAATTCTCACAAATGTTAAAGGATTACTGTTTTTTTTAACCTTTGTTTTTGACTTGGGCTATGATGTAAGAAATCTCCGTCAGAACGATTGGCATCACTGCAGGAGTGCCAGAAATGGCGGAACCCCTCCTGTAGCCCATCGTCTGTGACTGATATCTGCCTTGACCGGCAGTCTGAGCTCATAAATAGGAAGGCACTGGACAAGATCTTTCACGGGCAAAATCCATCTTAAAATTTTTTTTTTTTAGAATATTGTATTTTATTCGGCAAATCTATGTCCAGTGAACCTTATTCATATAGGAAATGAGTTTAATAAAACTAAAGAATCGTACTAAAATTAGTAGTCAATATTAATCGATCATATCTGTATGTTACTTTTTCATTTATTATTTTTTTTTTTTTTATTAATATTTTTATTTTCTCTCACAGGAGATGAATGGAGGTGGCGAAAGCATGGCTGAAATGCCAGAAGAGAACGGATTAGGAGACAATGACAAACTTGACGACGACCAGGAAGACATTATTCCAAAAGTGAACGGACACAATGAGAGTCCTGTTAAAGTAAGAATTTTAATCATATTTTATTATGTAATATATTTTAAGTTTATTATAGTGACTCTTTGGTCAGCTTGAAATAGATTTAGTATTAGAAATAATTGGAATGCCAATATTACTTAAAAGCGGGAGAAAAAAAAAAACAATATTGAAATTTTGATAATAATATACTTATTTTTAAAAAAAATTAAGATGGTTCTTGGCTGATCACTTCGACTGATCATCCCAACCATCTTTCTCTTCATATTTTAGAATGTTTGTTTTTATTAATAGAATAGAAGAGAAAATTATTTTATTCTTGGACAAAGTCCCTTTAGAATAATAAAAAAGTACAAAATTAAAATATTATATCTGGCCTAAATAATACCCAGAACAATCACAAGTAATCTCATTCTTTATGAAAGTAATAATAATGATTATTAGTAAATAAGTATTATTTATAATGTTGGGTAATTTCGTGATTAGAAATCATTTATTTACTTTTTCTTCTTTTTTTTTTCATAGGTTGAAGAAATCACTGAATGTCTGTTGAAGACATCTATTGAAGAGAAACATGTAAGTATTTATTAACGAACAATATTATTACAACTTACTGTCAGTCAGATTGTGACAAATTCTTTTTCTTTAAAAATTATTGGATTTTGTTATCTTAATTTTATTAAGTTATGGATTGCAATGATCCAATAATTTTCTTGATCCATCACTAGGAACCAAGCTTTCTAAAAGTATTGGGTGCCATATATTATGTTTGTATTCACCATAACTAATTAAGTCATTAATGGCTGGATGCCTTTTGACGAGGATATAATAACACCAAATTCGGGGGCCTGTATGGGTTTGATTCCTGACAGAATCCTGTTGTTACAAAAGTCCTTTTACATGAACACGAGTTGCTTCCCGTTGCCGGGGAGTCTTTTAAATCTCCGCCCACACCATCTGGCTCGGGAAAACCCCGTATAGCCTAGAAAGGGGGGGAGGACCTAAAAAAAAAAAAAAGATCCTATAAGAATTGTTTTGTATTTACTATTTATGTCAATTTTTACTTTCACTTATTCTTTAATTCCTTGAGTTGTCTTTATGGGATCGCTTATATTCTTAAAACGCACGTGCTATGTGACATGAAAAAACTGTGATTCACGATCTGTTGAGAAATAACTGGGAAAAAAAGATCAAAATTCAAAGACAGCCATAGAAGAAATTTGTACCATCAAAGGAGACTCAGTTATCCGTCGAAATACTGTTGCACCTTGGTTCAGGCATTCCAATAATGGGAATATGTGTCTTCGAAATTTGAAGTCTTTTTGCATTTTGAGCTTGTTCCTGATTGACGGGAAGTGGACTCAAACCTTTGCCGTGAACAACTAAATAGAGTTTATGCAGTTTTGAGTCAAATATCATGCTTTCGTCAACAGGAAACAAGCCATTTTGCAACAAGACAATGCCTCCACATCATAAACGTTTAGCCTCATCTAGCGTATAGCCCAGATATCCCACTATTATAGTATGGTTTAGATCAATAGCTCATTTTTTGAAAGGTCGGATCTTTGATAATTATGAGAACCTAAAAATTGGATGTGAAGAGTTCTTTACCTTTAAAACGGAGGAGTGTTACCGACATCAAATCCAATTACTGAGAAAGATGAGTGAAACTAATTGAAAACAATGGACTTTACTTTAAAGAGTAGTATTCAGTAATGTTATAAATATGTAATAAAGCTATAATTATGCCCAACGACTTTTGTTACAATATATACCATCCATAACTGATATATTACACTTTCTTATCATCAACATTCTCTTGTTATGACATCTATATTAACTAATTTCTATTTTTATTTTGTTCCAGGTAATTGATAACCATCTAGAAGTAGCAGTCGATGATGGGAAGACGCAAGAGTAAAATTTCTGTATTCTAAATGCATACCCAAATTAAATTAAAGCGATTATCAAATTGCGCCAATTATAAATGTATAAATACTTCTTTATTGTAAAAAATATTTCTCACTGCTATTAAGAGAAACTTTTGAGTGACTGTGATGCGTGTCTCAATTATGAAACAAAAAAGATTTTTAAATTTTAATGATAAAAAAAAATTACCCTCGAAAATACAATTTTAATTATTTTAAAAAAAAGTAAAAATTTTAAAATGGTGTATATTGTCATGGGAAGTCCAATTTTTTAAAGACTGTTTTTAGTGGTATTTTAAGGGGCTCAAATTTTTGCACAGTTTTTATACTTTTTAATACAACCTCAATGATGAAATAGAATTTTATATAAAAAAAATTTTCTATGACATTAATGAAGAAAATCATAGGTTTTTTATTTTTATTTTCCGTCTTATAGCCGTTGGAATTTCACTGCCTGTATTATATAATCTGGAAATTATTGTATATTGCCGTGGACCAATGACACCATTTCAAACGCATCCTTTTAGTAGCTGATGGAAGCATCACAATAATACTCTTCTCGTAATTTTTTTTTTTTTTTTTAATATATTGTCATAAAAGCCTTGTAATTTATGATGAGAATATTCTTTAAATTAAAAAACGGGGTTGTCCACTGTCCAAAGTTCAAACAAACATCACCATTTTTCAGTTTTTAGGCTTTAGCGTTAATTTTTATTATATATAATGTTCTTTCAAGTCTTGGGAGTCGTATCTCCGTCACTGGTGTATATGATTACTACAATGTTAATATAAGAGATATGGTGATGTTTTGTTTGATACTAGTTTTTACCCTTATATTATAAATATATAAATATATATATAAATGAAAATATAAAATTAAGAAAGAAAAAAAAAAAGAACAAAGATGTTTTGTAAGATAGTTCTTGGGTAGCGAGTAAGATGTTATATGCTTTCTTTTGTATCGTAAACACAGGAATGTGGGTTTCTCTCATATATATATCGCATTTCTGAATTATATCTTGCTTCGATTAAAAAAAAAATAAATAAGATATAGAAAGAAAGCAAAGGAGGGAGACATTTTTTAAAAAATATTTCCAATATTATATTGTAAACTGTTTTATGTGTAGTAGTATAGAGGAGTACTTGCTGCAGGAGTGTACGATACAGAAAAGTGCTTTATATGATCAGATAAAACCAAAACAATTTGTAAAAAAAAAAGTAAAATGTTTTCGATTGGGATGGGATTGGTCTAAGGCCTGCACGCAATGGCTAAATATATTAAAGGCAACGAATTAATATTGTTCCAATTTTTTGTATATGTATTTTTGCAAATGTCGCTAATGATTATCAGCTTTTCAATGTGGAAAATAATGCATTTAAATCTACCCTTATCGAAACCCTATTTTTCGCCGTTTTATACATAAAAAAATCCCTTCTCAATCTTATATTGTATGTGTGAATGTGTTTATAAATTTAAATATATGTTTAAAATATTAATTGTATTGTTTATTTATCATCCCAAAACCTTCTTAAGTTTAAGATGCTTTTTGATGTTTCTAAAATTTATATCACAGGGGGCGCTTTCTGGTTGAAGCCACTCCAAAATGCTAAAATATAGCCATGTTTTATAGATAAAATATTTTAAAAAGTATTGTTTCTGTAATTATATTTAATAGGAATTCAAGAATCACTTATAGGTGATTTCATGTAGGTTGTTAGTTTCTTTCTTTTTTTTTTTCCCCCAAATTAATTTTCCTCAAATATATGAAGAAAAAAAAAAAACTTTTGGACTGAAGTCCCCAAAATTAAGATCTGTTAGTGGTATTTATTATGATAAGCTTAGAAGATTCGCCCTTCTTCCAATTATTTCATCTTAATCAAAACATTTCTCTATCAGGCTCATTTTGTCTATCTATAAGTATGTTTTATAATTTTTATTTAATTTCTTTATGTTTGTAATTAAACAAGTTATACTTCCAACAAATGTTGTATTTGATTTTATTGTGAATCTTCCATAAGAACCATATGTCCGTATAGATTTAGTCTCAAGTCCAGCCTATCTGTGAATGTCACTGATGTATTGATTGAGATGAAATTAATGGAAGAACTTTAAAAGGATTAGATTATTTTCCTGAAATTATAATAAAATATTCATTCGCCTTTCTTTCTCAAAATTTCTCTTATTTGTGACTATTTTATAAAATTGATAAGAAATTATTTCTGATTGTTTAATGGAGGTTAGTTTATGTTGATTAAAAATCACTTCTTCCTACTATTAAGAATATACATATAACAGTGTGAACTGAACTATACATAACCTTAATGTTATATTGCTGATGATCAAATATTGAAAAAACTTAATTTTTATGTTTCTGACCCAAGATAATCACAGCCTCACGTACTTTTCTTGATTTTTAAGCACAATCACTATGAATAACTAAAATTACAAAGCCAGAAATATAAATCAAATAAAAATGATTAAATTTGAGTTACAAATTAAACTTTACAAGCCGTAAAGACTAAAGCTTGATAATGTAACAACAGTAATTAATTAATTAAATAAGCAAGATTAAAAAAAAAAATCTGAATTCTGAATATTGGTTTGTATGCACATAATGATTAATTCTGGAAAAGTGGAAATTTTTATATCAAATAATTATTATTTAATTCTCTTAATTATTACTTAAATATTGTCTCAAAGTAGTATTATTGGACCAATCCGACTAATTCCTGCACTCCATGTACAAGTGTGATCGATGGATGGAGATTAGTGAATTTCTTCGTTCTTCCCATTTTTGGAAGTAATAAGTGATGTTCAGTTTTCCTTGACCATCGTAAAATGTCAGGGGACTATGTACATCTTTCAGCCAACATCTCTGACTTCTGCGTCATTTGTAGGGTTCATTCCTGCGCAGTTGATTTTCTGGTCAGAACCCAGCCAACTCCTACCGTCTTCGGCTCTATGTCAGTACTGGTAGGACTGCTGCCTGCTACCGGCGATATTTATCGACATCCCAGTCTAGATCCACAGTGTTCAGTCGAAAGCAGTGCCACCTTAGACAGGATGCGGTTCTTTACCGCACACGGACGATCTTGACAGTAGCATCTTCTTGGTCTCTACTTACAGTTTCTCACGCCTCTTGGCTATTCCCCTGGTTTTGAGTAAGGACCAGTCTCTAGGTCTTCCATAGCTGAAGGTACTACCTCTTCTTAGCACCTTGACTCCACTAGTGAACTAGAACCAAATTAAGTATTTCGATGATCTCAGATTATCGCAAACAACACGATCTGGAATTCAATTTATTATAAATCAAGAAATTTCAGCAACTATGACAATGTAAACTAGAATAATAAAAATAAATATAGAATTGAAATATATTCATTAATGAGCAAACAAGTTTTGTTGTACCAATTACTTTACCTTTATAATCGACATGTGATATGGAAAAAAAGGAGATAAGTATGTTCCAGAAAAATAAAAATTAATCATGTTGTTGATATATAAATGTATTTTTTCTTGGACATTTATGGAATGGGGGAGGTTATATATATATATATCATACACATCTCCATCTGCTAGAATTAGCAGAAAAAGAAGAAAAGAAAATTTTATTTGCATATAAACCCAAAAAGTATATTGTTTCTGTTAGTGCAAAAGTCATATGTAACAATTTTACATATTTATTCTCTGTGCACTAAAGATGACATTTTATGATCTGCAACTGCTAGAAGTAGCATGCTAAATAGGAAGATAGTAGAGGAAAATAAAATATGAAATTATATAGAAATAATTGGTTTTTAGGCTCTTATGTATAAAATCTCAATTTTTATATTCGACCTTTTGCACTAACAGTAGCGATAAAAAAAATTAAAATTGGGCCATTTTTAGCAAAGATTCAGCTTAATACACCTTGTGCACATGTTTTGGTTTAATTAGTTTCAATAATAATCCTTTGTAATTGGTCATGTTTTATTTAATTCAATAAATAAATGTTTGAAAAAATGAAATGATATAGCTACTCAATTTAATTTTAACTGCTTGATCCCAGTTTTATATACTAAGATCGCCAAGTGGTAGAAACAACTAAGTCACTACTGGTATTGGTACGTCGTGGTGAGAAGATGAAGTCGGGCAAGTGGGCCTATTGTTCCATTTTGCTAACCCCAAAGACTACAATACTAATGGTAGTCTATTATACCTCCATCTCTGTTTCTAACTTTCTTATAAAGTTCAAAAGAGAGCCGTTTTATAGAGGGAGCTTCCTGTACTAGTATTTTGTTGAACCCAAAAGCCTGCATCTGAGCCAATCAAATCAATCATATGTAGTAAAGGGAAGTTTACGGTGCATTCCTGCACAAATGGCAGGATTCATCGTTGACTATCCTGCAAATCATTACATGTCTTTTAAGTCTGCAGTGGCCTGTTAGTATCCCAAAGATGAGTCAGATTTAAGCCAGGCTTAACAGCCACTTACTTCTCGACAAGGAGAGATTTTTAATTAACTGTTTGGCTTATCTGAGCCCACTGGATTCCCTCTATTCCTTACCTGCTCTTTTCTATATCCAATCAAGGACTTGTTTTCTATGTAACTCAGTTAAAACAAACTAATTATATAGTTTTTATTCTCTCTAAAAAATTAAATTATGTAAAAATGTAGCATATAATCAATTTCTAGTGCAGAAATAACCGAAAGATAATATGAGAACAATGTTTTCCTTAAAAAAATCCGCATTACATTTGATCAAGTTATATAAGTTGTGAAAGTTCATAGGTAGAATTATATTTTACATGATGACTATCACTTTGATAGGAATTATATCTTGTTGCTTTGGGAAACGGGCTTTAAGCATATTGATGAACTAAATGGCTGGCTTATAAGTCAAAGAGATTGTGATCCAGACACCAATAGGAAATATGAATGGAATTAATCTAAGTAGCATTAACAGAAAAGAAAAAAAAAAAAAAACAGTAGTACTCAATTTCGTGCTGCTTGAAAGAATTTAAATATACTCCCAAAACATTAAGAAATAATTGTAAGATGTGGCTAAAATATCACATTCTGTAAATCATGAAATTATTTATTGAATTTTTTAAGAAAATTACTTAGGTAAGGAAGGCTACAAAAAGAATTATAATATTACAATGAACCTAGAATTGAAATTTACAATGGAGTTTGATACCATTGGTAATTCATTAGAGTTGAACTTTCCCTTCTTTTTTTTTTCTTTTTTAAAATCATCACCCAAGGAAGTTATCAATGTTACATAATATTTGTATACAATAAATAGATATATTTAAAATGAAAATAGTGAAGAATTGGAACGCAAGTAAATAATCTTATATTGGCTGTATGGAAAATTCCAATGCCAAAAAAGAAAAAAAAAAGTTCATCATCAGTGATATTGAAGATGGTTTATGGAAAAAAAAAAAAAAAAGGAAAATCAATTGGAGACTGGTTATCAATATGAGCTAAGTGCCAAACCAAAAAAAATTGAGTCAGACAATTTTAGACAACCATAGACCATTGCCTACAGTCTAAAAATCGGGCTAAATAATTACTTTTGATTATCTCTATTAATATCAAAAAAGGTTAAATACTAGTTTACATTCTGTAATAACATTTTTTATTTCTAATCTATTGCTCATAAACAAAACAATTCAACATTACAATCTCTTTTTATTGTTAAGTCTTCTTCATAAATTCAACAATAAGCATATAATTAATTGATTGTCTTCATATTCTAGTCAAAAACAAAACAAAAGAAAGAATAATTTATTTCATTATCGTCATTAATTTAAAATATATATATATAAAAAAAAAACTACAAACCGAGAAGGGTTCAGTACTTCCTTCGTAATGAATTATTGTTTCAAGACCAACAGATATACAAAGAGGTGAATTGGCCAGCAAGATGGGCTACTGCCAGGTTCTTCGCCTTATTTGATTAAGAGTACCCACTTTATAGAGGCTTGCCATTGTATTAAAAGGATCTCCAGACACCAGGTTGATTTAATAAAATAAATATTTGCCATAGCCAGATTTGAGCTTGGACTCTAGAGAGCCCAGTGCCTTACTTATTGAGCTACTCTGCTCCTTATATTAGAATCATCAGTAGCTTTAGAGTTTATTAACCAACAATTACAATTTGGTCTGAACAGATGGCAAAACCTATCAGTTGGTGCCATTAATAATAAGTAAATAATTTTTACATGATTACATTTTTTTTTCTGAATAATTTCAATACAATACAATTTTAACATAGTATAATAATACTATATGACATAATGATAATGTAATATTATAATATGTATTAAATACTAAGTGGAAAAATTTGAGATCTGTAAGATTATATAATATAATATAAAATATAAATGATAATTACAATTATCTATAGATATTAATGTATAGCAGTAATAATTTATAAAATATTAATAAATATATACAATATAAAATTCCATATTACATATAGTGAAAATTAAAATTAACTCTACTATTAACTTTGGTTTTAACTTTATTTGGCTTCTTCCTGAATAGAGACCTATTCTCCTTCCAATGGCTACAGAGACCATTTCTTGTCCTTTGCTTTAACTTTCACTCTCCTACATGTCTTAAGACAATTATTCTCCAATCCCTTATCCCAAAAATCCTCCAGCCACCCTCTTTTAGATCCCTTATTCATTCATTCATATCCCTCATCTCCCTGTGAATATGGTACTATGTAAGCCCTAATTTATCTGGGGAAATAATCCCTGACAGAGGAACCACCCACCTCAACCTGATATGCCTAACTATACTTGGTTGGCTTTATACTTTATGGTTACAACTTCTGAGGTATGTCTATCTAAATATATTCATAAATGTTGCACAGAACTAAGATGCCTGATGACTTAATACAACTGATCATTTCATCATCCTTTACTCCAAGCCATACACTAGAAACTGGTCTTACAAAGCTTTTACCTGGTTATTTCTTGACAGATAGTTACTTTTTTGATATATTTCTAGTCCAAATCAACATCTGTTTTTACTTTTTTCTTTTAACTTTTCTCCACTCATTATTCTTCGAGAAGTCATTACCAGTAGTTGTCAGAGATCTCTGCTGAATGAATTCATGCAGTTGTTGAAACTTAAAAGAGTAAAAGCAACAAGTTATAATTCCTATAAACGCGATAGTCATAATGTAAAATATAAGTCTACCTATGAAATTTCACAATTCATATAACTTGATCAAATGTAATGCGGATTTTTTTTAGGAAAACATTGTTCTCATATTATCTTTCGGTTATTTCTGCACTAGAAATTGATTATATGCTACAGAGTCAAACTGAACAGTATCTGCTAAGGTGTGAAATTCAGAAGTCACACTTTTTTTCGTTCATTTAAGGTAGTTCCAGTCCTCCAGTGTGGCTTCAAGGAGGGTATTACGTATGTCATGTTCTATATAGATCATCCTCATAACTGAGAATGTGAACCATTCCATCTGTTGTCAGGAGACATGGAACCTGTATTGCTTTTTCCAATGGGATGTGGTACAAAAGACACCACGGTATAACCCTGTTTCACTCCCATTGTTGTAGTACTGACCTCTGAAGTTTCACCCTAAACATACGCTGTGTTGTATACATGAATTCCGTCATGTCCGAATTAACTGACCTTATCGTATTCTCTGGGATGTTCAGTTTTCTCATTGCTTGATAAAAAGGTGACCTAGTATACATAATGTTTCAGGGTTAAGTGGCCAAACTGATAATATGAATTAAGGATCTCAAAAAAAGAAAAAAAATTTCTATGAAGGTATGTCCACAAATGCTTAGCATTGGGAGATATTCACACCTAATGATTTTCATTGTCATGAATTATTTACGTTATATTAATTAAATAAAATTTATTTATTTGTTGCAACTACTTTATTAAACGTAATTATTAAATTTTGTCCGAAGTGATTTCCTTAAGCATCGAGCATTAAGACAGGCTCGGCATCTTTCTTCAATAGCAGCAGTGGTAGAACGGCACTGGATATGTGTTATCGTTTCACAAGATTCAATTATCCTTCTTCGTAAGGAATTTAGATCATTGACCGGACTTGCATAGACTTTTTGTTTAATGTCACCCCAAAAATCCAGTGGAGTCAGGCTGGAGAGCGTGCAGGCCAAGCCACTGGTCCTGCACGGCCAATCCATTGATTGGGATAATTAACATTTAGCCATTCACGTGGCTCTCTTCCGTAATGTGCCGGACAACCATCTAATTGAAACCACTTGTCCCTTCTCAGTTGTAGTGGAATATTGGAATGTAGTTCAACTAAATCATAGTTATCAATATTAAGAAATTCCAGAAACAAAGCTTTTGCGGACATACCTTCACTTTGAACAACATTTAATCTGAATGTTGATGTTTACATTTAATTAATAAAGTAGTTAGAACAAACAAATAGGTTTTATTTATTTCATATAGGGTAAATAATTCATAACAGCTGAAATCTTAAGGTGTGAATATCTCCTAAACAAAGCGTTCGCGGACATACCTTCAGATGAATTTTTTTTCTTGCTTTTAGGTACAGATTTCTTTTATAAGTTTTATGTTATTTCTAATGACTATATAATATAAACAGGTTTTGTAAAGGATTTATAAAATTTCCATTGCCATTCTTAAACAAGTCAGTTTAAGGGATTGATTTGAAATTCAATGGTAGGAGGTTCTATCCTCAGGAGGTTCGATCTTATCGCCTTGGTTCTTTTAAAGTATGGGAGATCCAATTTGTCAGTTCGACTTTATTCAAGGTTCATAAAAAGGTTATAGTGTTTTTTCCATGTAATCACGACTAAGTTCATGTTAGTGAGAAGTCTAGAGCATGCATTTTTCTACATACAGAGATTCGTAATGTCTTTCGTTCATTATCAACTCATCTCCGGAAATTTTTACAATTGTTATCATGTCCGAGCTGCTGAACTTCCTCAAGTTATTTGTTCTTCCATCAACTCATAAAGATACTACCTCAAAAAACATGCACTTCGTCTATAAACGATTGAAAACCAAATGACTCCTTTCTGAATATTGAATGTCGTTATTTCTCACAGGGCATATCAGATTTCTAGTCTAGCTCCATGTTTTCAGGTCATTGATTTCTTATGCTTCTGATATGACATTTCGGAAACTGATGGGCATATCATCATGCCCTCCACACCCTTTAAGGCATTCATAGCTAAACTTCTAAGGGAAACCGATTTCTACGCCCTTACAGAAAATATTCTCTTCAGCTAGTCAGATCCTCAGCAGGATAACTACCCGGAATTTCGAAGCTTTTGTGTATTGGTGGAAGGAAGTAACAGGAGCAGACCATTTCAATCCTTTTCACTGAAAAGAAAGAAATATTAGGAGGAAAAATAAAGGATTAGAAGAAAACTGAAGTTAGAATATTATCCACTAATTCTTACAAAATTGGTTAGAATGAGAATAAATAAATATGTTTTCTTAACTCCGTTTTCCATTTTGTGGAATTGATTTTCTTCTCTTCTTATTTTGAGATATAATTCTATTGATGCTCTAGTGTTCCTTCTCTGGGTCATAGATATATCTTTTTTTTTACATCACAGATTATGGTGATCTTTTGCCGTCTTAACAAGCCTGCTCCATCTCTGGTCATAGATGTAAATGCCTGGTTTTTCAAATCTGCGACTCTTCAGCATTACTCATCAAACCAATTAGTGCTTCTGTAATGGCTTTCCAATCCTAATGTTTCTAGGTAGCTTTACCATTATGACGTATGATGTCGGATTACATTTATCTGTAAAAATAGAGTTGACAAAATTAAAAGGACGACTTTCGATCTGAATTAGTAAATTATGTAGTGCGAATACGCTCTCCAGCCTGACTCCACTGGATTTTTGGGGTGACATTAAACAAAAAGTCTATGCAAGTCCGGTCAATGATCTTAATTCCATTACCTTTATATGTTAATATAAACGTTAATATAAAATGAGCACGCAACGAATGTTTTTTTTTAGATCTGAAAAATAAATTTGAATTTAGAATTTTAATTCAATCATAGAAATTTACTATCTGAACAGAAACATCAATCAAATTGTCAAGTTGCGAGAAAAAAATCCAAACTAAAACCAACAGAAAGTTTTAGTTTGTACTATCTATCCTCATAGCTACATGGATCGAAAACCTTTCAAAAACCTTCCACTTGCAAGAGTCACGTGTTTATTTATGTTTTAAAGTTATTGTTTGATTTTAAGATTTGGCATAAAGACATAAAAATGGTAATTATTTGATTTACTAGAATAGATATATTTTTTACTGTGTTATTTGATCATTGCTGTAATTTCTAAATAAGGCTTATTTTATTTAATTATCATTTGATGAAGTTACTAAAAGCATCATGATGCCTTGTTATTTTAAATTAAGTATATTTTAAAATAAATTTCTGCTATATAAGATTTTGTGAATGTTTAGGAAGTAAACTCATCACTTACAGATCAGTCATTGTTAAAGTGTATTAATATGTAAATTCAATCAAATTACAGAAATTCTACTGATTTTATAATATCAATACAATAAGATAAAAGTGTAAAATTTTGAGTATTTGTAACATTTCACTTATCAAATTTCAAAAGAGTTGGATGTCTAAAATTACTGTTTATCAATTTTGTACTTATATCCTTAAAATATATAGGATTAAATATAAGTTGTAGATTGTAATTTGAATTGTGCGTTCCATTAGTTTAATTCTTTCATGTATTTTTAGGGAAATTCTAAGCAAGCACGGAAATTCGCCAAGCAACGTTTTGCTCAAATGAAGAAGATGATCAGTGAAAAGGATCCTAGAGTGTAATTTAAAATATTGCTTATGATTATTTACAACTAATACTCCTTAATCACTGAATAAAGAGACTTTGATTTTCCATTTTTCTAGAATTAATTATTGTGTTTATTACGAATTTATGTATTATCTGTGCTAATTACGGTTCTACTTTAGAAGTATTGCTCCATTTTGGGTAGGTTCGATTTCTTGTGATCTTACTATAAATAGAATTCCAAGATTTTTTCAGTTAAAATGGGGCTTTATTATCTTTGATTACATTAAAAAGGGATAACCATATCCCTAGTTGTTCCTTTTTAGTTGAGGTTGAGGCCTTTTTAGTTGCTGATTTACTCACCTTTGTCTACTTTTCACACACTTACCTGTTCTCCGACTCCCATTTATTGTGTGATCTTGTGCAGCCCATCAAAATGGTTGGCACAAAATGTGGGTAACTATTGTTAAGTAGTACCCTCTTAATTATTATATTTCCTATTCAATTTAAGTAAAACAATTTCTGTTCTTATCAACTAGTAACTATGTTAAAATTATCAATATTAAATATATATTTATATTTATTTTGGTACAGTTACCCAAAATTTTGTTGTAAATATTATTTTGAATACTTAAATTAACTGGTTTTATTTATCTTGTCTGTGAACCATGAAGTTTATCGTAACTTCTAACCTTAAAAATGGATTTCTTGAGAATCAAATATAAATGAAACAGTAAATTTTTTCAATCTTTTGTCAGATTTGTCGGTGGGACCCCCCGAGACGTTTCCATGTCTTCCACCAATATGCCGAGTTACGGTGGCTCTTTCCTTCCTTCCGTAGACAATATTTCCTAGGCACATTCCTCTATCGAATTAATAACAGCCGTTGCCCCTCCAAGACCTATGATCTTCTCCAATTCAAGTCCTCTGTCCACTCTCTCACCACATGATCCTGACCATCTCAACTTTATACTCCTTTTCACAGATCTGCCTCTTTTCAAAACTCCTTCGTTGTCCCCTCTGCTTCTTTCTGGAATTCCTCACCTTTAAAAATCCGTCATGCTCTCTCCCTATCCACCTTTGAAACCCTCCTATATTCCAATTTCTATTCTTGCAACAGTCAAAATGGCTACTACATAACTACATATTAATTAATAATGTAAAAAATATTATTTTTTATTTATTTTTGCACATATGACTTATGATCTTATATGTATATATATTTTTTTTTTCCACGCCATCTTTCTTTTGACATCATGGTTATATGTATATGTATTTCAATAAGAATTGAAATTTTCTTTTATTCATAGGAGATTTGTTGCTCATTTATCAGAGGACCTTATTTTGTATTCCATTGTTTCGTTATACCTTTTTCTTGTGATTATTATATTCTTTTATAGTTTTAGCTATGTAGGGACTATTTTGTTTTATTTCTTATTTGTATTGGATATAATTGTATTATTTTGTCTCATTGGTTTGATTTAGTCTGTATTGTTTGTTTACTTAAAGCTTTTATCCAGCTATTTTTTAATATAGTAGTTTTTCTGGTGAGACATTATTCTTTTTTTTTTTTCTGTAACATTCTGTTATTCTTAAGGGATTTCGTCCAAGAATAAAGTTATTTTCTATCTAACTAAATGAGCATATAAAATATTAAAAATAATCATTTCTTTAAAATGATACTCAAATTGAGTACTATTATTTATTAAGTAATTTTATTTACATATTTTTTTTTAGTTGACAGAAATAATGTTTAAAAAAATTATAAAAATTTAATATTGTCATTTCAGGGTTCAAAAAAGATTGGAAAAGAATCCAAAACTTAAACATCAACTAGAGCAAAAAAAGAAGAAAGAAGAACTTCGAAATGTGTAAGTTGTACTAATTCATTAGTTTCTAATACTATTCATTATAACTTAATAAGTTTACGCATATACATAATAAATAATATATGCATATTAAGAAATATGAAATGAGAAATTTCGATGCTAGTAAACTATACTAAACTAAGTGTTAGGTTATAATTTGGAAAAAATCCAAACCACACAGTCTTATGTTTCCAAAATGCAGGCAAAGAAAACAAACCCGTCATCGTTTCGCCAATTCAGACATCGTCAGGACAGAAAAAAACATCTAATCGAACATCACTCTATGACATCTGCTACAGTATGTGATTGGAGTGATGTTCGATTAGATGTTTTTTTCTGTCCTGACGATGTCTGAATTGGCGAAACGATGACGGGTTTGTTTTCTTTGCCTATATTTTGGAGACATAAGGCTGTGGGGATTGGAATTTTTCTAGATTATAACCTAACATTTATGTTCTATCTCTTGATTAGGTTATTACTAATTTATATTACTAAACTCACAAGTTTTCTTTAATGTGGAATATTATGATAAGACTGTCAGGAATCTATAAGTCGAGAAATTGCAGTAAAGTTTGTTTAATATGTATTTTCTTTTGTATCTTGAGTTCTTATGATATGCATCTTGAGTTCTTTTGTGTGTTTCTTCAATTTAAACTGAAATGTATTAAATTTGGCAGTTAAACAACAGTTTAAACGAAAAAAACTTCTTGTTTGATAGTTTAGCTGGATGGAAACTGATACATACGTACACCTTAGCCTTTTTCAGAAAGGGGTTATATGTTTCTTGGTCAGCAATTTTTTTATTATTTTGGAGTTTAATTTTTTATAACTTTTATTACTGATGCTATTAATAGTATGCATAGTGAAATATTATGAAGAAAAGAAAATTTTGATCGTTGCAAAAATGTATAGGATCATAATTATTGTTATTCTGAGACGAAGGAGAGATAATGACCTTGAGCTTAATTTTTTTGATTATATGTAAATTAAGCTTGATGGGATTGGGATTTAGTGAGAGGATGGTACAGGCAACAATTTAGTTTAATAATCATCGTATTAGATTTGCTTCTCATTTATGTAATGCTCTATCTACTTTATTACTAATTATTTGCCATTATGGTATTTTGATTATAGAAGTTATTTTAACAATATGTGTATTTGGGAATTTTTCTTACTTTATATTGTATTATTTTTAGGCCACAGTATTCCTCTGCATTGTTCTTCCAGTACAACACCCAGCTCGGCCCTCCCTTTCATGTTATCATTGATACAAACTTCGTTAACTTTTCTATTAAGTATAAAATGGATATCATTCAAAGTATGATGGATTGCCTCTATGGAAAATGTATGTTCTTGAACATTTTTTTTTTTTAAATTATCAATTAATAATATCCAAATTAAATTATTTACTGTAATTATTATGTCTTTTAGGTATTCCTTATATCACAGACTGTGTTCTTGCTGAAATGGAGAAACTTGGTCGTAAGTACAGAATTGCTCTACGCATTATGAAAGATCCAAGGTACGAACGACTGCCTTGTATGCATAAAGGAACATACGCCGATGATTGTATTGCCCAGAGAGTGACCCAGGTATTATTTTTAATTTTAAATAATTTATGAGAAGGAATTAGTCGAGGGTGCGGTCAAAAAAATACAAAAAAATTAAAATATATAAATAATTTTAATTTTTGCCGACGTTTCGACCCACTTTGCAGGTCGTCTTCAGGGCTTTAATTGTAAATACAGCCTACCATTCCATTACCGCTTTCAAAAAACTAAATGTCAATTGTCATCTATATATAGTACAACCTGTTTTTTGTTTCTTTATTATCATAACCTTGTTTTTTACATTTATTCTTACATTTTAAAGTATTCTTTTAAAATTATTGTTTTCTTATAGAGTTATTTATACTTAATAATCTATCCCAACAATATTACACTAATGTTACCCTATTAATCTTTCAATTTCTTCACTTCTTAACCTTTGGTCCCGTTATCTGTTTATTTACAATTAAAGCCCTGAAGACGACCTGCAAAGTGGGTCGAAACGTCGGCAAAAATTAAAATTATTTATATATTTTAATTTTTTTGTATTTTTTTGACTGCACCCTCGACTAATTCCTTCTCATATCATATCAACGGTCAACCATCTCTACATCATTTTAAATAATTTATATTTAATATTAGATTTTTAATATTAACTTCATTTGATGGATCATTGTTTAGTTTTTGATCAGATTAGCATTTAACCTGAGTCATGGAAAATCACTCTTTAACTCTTGAGATTATGTTGCTTTAAGGTTAGAACAGGAACTTTATTTATGAAAAGCAAGATATATCCCTCAATAATTATCAAGAGTGTTAACACTTTGCCTGTGGTTATGGTCCCCTTGTTTAGATATTCATCTCAACTTGGGCCGGGATTGTTTCGAATTTTGCCAATCTTACGAAGTTTCTAAAATGGTAAGTTTTAAAAATATTTCAATGGGAGTCGGATAGATGTAAAGATAGGTATAAACGTAAATAATCATTATATCTGTTAATAGGGTGTACAAAAAAAAAATATCCGTTTTTCAACCAAATATTTGTATTATTATTTCTTTGATATAAAATACAATGAATACTCAAAGTATAGTCCATTGTTTAGTTAGCCAATTGTTTGATCCCACACTGATACCATTCTTTGGGATGGCTGTCAAAGAACTCTTGGATCGCAATTTCAATTTCCATAAAATTATCAAATTTTTTTCCTTGAAGAAAATGGGCCATGGATCTAAAAAGTAGTAATCCGATGGTGTGAGGTCTGGACTATATGGTGGATGAGTCAGGAGTTCGAATCTATGAAGTTTATTAAAATTTTCTTTGGTTCTACGGGAAGTGTGAGGACGAGCATTATCTTGTTGGAATAAAATTCCTTTTCGGTTGATCGAAGCACGATAACTCTCTGACAACTTCCAGTTATTCGGAGTTGAGTTCAGAATTCATAGAGCATCCATCAGGAACCAATTCGTGATGATAACACCTTCAAAATTCCAAAAATGGATTTTTTTTCAAATTGCTTCATTGCAGCAACCGGAAAACAAGTTTGACCATGATCTAGCCATTGCTCACGAATATTCAGATTTCGCTAGTAAATCCACTTTTCATCACAGGTGACAATCTTCCGGTCAAATCTCATATCAGAAGGGTTTTTCAAAAAATTTTCATAAATTTCTAACCACTTAGCTGATTGCTGAGGAGTAAGTTCGTGAAGGACCAGTCTACTACTCTTTTTCACTTTCCCCATGGAGAGTAGATAGCGACTAACAGTATCTTTTGACACACCACACTCCCTGGCAAGTTCGCAAGTACTTGTGGACGGGTTTGACTCAACAGCTTCCTGCTGAATCTCAGTGACTGTGAAATTTTTTTTCAGTAATGCCTTAAAATTATGAGAATTTTGTTGGACACTGTCATGTTTCTTCTTTGAAACAAATAACTAAACTGATAATTTTTTTGAAGAAGTCAAATGGGATTAAACAAGCTTAGAGAATGCTTTAAAGGGGTTCTTAAGTATTGAATAGG